TAGAATATTGATGTGGGAGAAGGGCATTTTGGGTGGTGGAAAGACTGGAGAAGAGGCTTGGGAAACTGCGACTAGTCAGATTGCTGCTGTAATTTCTCAAACTTTAATATGCAAAGCAATCCTTGAGAATCTTGTTAAAATGCAAATTCTGATCTAGTAGGTCTGGGTTGAGACTTGAGAGTCTGTGTTTCAAACAAACTCCCAAGAGATTCTGGAACTGCTGATCCAAGGACCCCATTTTGAGTAGCAGGGTTCTCGTCTAGAGAAAAGGTTGATTCAGGAGGAATGAGATGATTAGGTAGGTTCAGGGCAGGCCCTTGAAGGTCTTGCTAAGGAATTTGGACTTTGTTCTATAAGCAAAATGAAATCACTCAAAATTTCTGAAAAAGAGTTTTAGTGCTACAGGATGATTGATCTGGAAATAATATAGTATAAAATAGAGATCTCATACACTGTGGGCCAGTTAGGAGACTAAGGCAATGCTAACAGTCATGTACTAAGTATTTATTGTGTATGTACTTCATGAAGAGCACTGTGTCAAACTGTAGAGTAGCGGTTCTTCCCACACACACGCACACCCTACTGCCCTAGAGTGGCAGTTCTTAAACTCCATTGTGCTCAATATTTACCTACAGAACATATTTTTAATGCGTATTTCTAGTCTCTACACCCAAATTAGTAGGTCTATGAAAAGACCCCCAACATTTTTTTTTAAGATTTTATTTATCCATGAGAGAGACAGAGAGAAAGAGGCAGAGACATAGGCAGGGGGAGAAGCAGCAGGCTCCTTGCAGGGAGCCCAATTCAGGACTCAATCCTAGGACCCAGGATTACAGCCCAAGCCAAAGGCAGACACTCAACCACTGAGCCACCCAGGCATCCCACAGGACCCCCAACATTTATATTTTAAAACCACATAGCCTCTGGTCTCTACAGATACAGATCAAGCTGTGTCACTGGAATACTGAGTTAAACAAACAAACAAAAAAAAAAACCTGTGTAGCTTCTGACCTCAGATAGCTTACATGACCATATGGGAGATGAGGTGAATTTATAAGTAACTCAGAGAAAGAAGGAACAGATTATTTTGCAGCTGGGAGGATCAGTGTGTATGTTTGGGAGGATGAAATGCATACTAATCTTGACTGTGAAGGATTGGTACGTTTTGGATCCACCTGTGCCAACACTGGGGAAAGACCTTGTAGGCAATGGAAATAATAAAAGCAAGAATACATAGCAGTTGTTTAGTTTGGTTAAAGATATAAGTATTCAAAATCAACATTATAAAAGACAGATTGGGGCCAGATACCGAAAGACCTTTTAAATTCCTTCTTTCTGAGTTTGGACTTTATTTTGTTGGCAATAGAGAGTATTTAAGACTTTTGACAGGGCCATGATATGACCAGAGCTATAGCTGAGGAAGAACAGTGTGGTAGTTGTGTATAGGATGAACTGGGAAGGAGAGAGAAGGGAGGCAGGGAGAATAATGTGGACAGGAATCAGGGCCTAAGATTCAGGATACTGCTAATGCAAAATGGTAGGGAGGAGAAACAGCTTGGAGAGAGGATACAAAAATAGAACCAATGGGTGATTAAATGTGGGGCCCAAACAAGAGGAAGAAAAGATGCTTGTAAGGAATCTAGCCTGAGTAACCAGGAAGCTGCCTAGGAGGCCTTTGGGAATGGAAGGGAGAGTAAGAGGAGGGAGATTACACCTCGAGATCTATGTTTTTGGGAATTAATCATATAAAATGCTGGTTGAAGCCTGAAAAGTCGATGAAATTGCCACAGGGGAGGGGATGTTGAGGGAAAGATAAAGAGCATTATGGGTAGTGTTTAGGAGGCATAGGGAGGAAAAGGAGCTAGAAGAAAACAATCAGAAAAAAAAAACAATCAGAGAGGTAAGGAAAGAAGTTGCAGTATCACTGAACAAATAGTATAGAAGAAGAAGGAATGGTGGTCAGTAGTGTTAAGGGCTACAGAGAAGTTGGGGAGAATAGCACACAAAAGGCCATTAGATTTAGGAATCAGGAGATGATTGATGATCTTCAAGGGAGAAGATTCAGTGAATTAGGAAGTAGAAGCCCAGTTACAGGGAATTTTACATTAGTTTTGAGTATATAGAGGCAGAAAATGTAGCTTACTTTTGTAGTAAATCTGTCTAGAAAGGAGTGTTGAGAGAGGATGAGTTTTAGGTGTGATGGGATGAGAGACTAAACCAAATTGCAATAGGAAATAGAAAAGAGGAGTTGGCATCCAGAGAGCCTGAGGACATAGAATCTGTAGGTCTTGAAGATTAATTTGATGTAGAGATTGAAAGGAAAAAGATTCCATTTTTAAGACTTGGAACTGGAAGAAGGAAGATACTTGGAAATATAACAGTCTTAGGGCAGCCTGGGTGGCTCAGCGGTTTAGCGCCGCCTTCAGGCCAGGGTGTGATCCTGGAGATCCGGAATCGAGTCCCACGTTGGGCTCCCTGCATGGAGCCTGCATCTTTCTCCCTCTGCTTCTGTCTCTGCCTCTCTCTCTCTCTCTCTCTCTCTCTCTTTCTCTGTCTGTCTCTCATGAATAAATAAAATATTTTAAAAATAAAAAAAGGAATAAGACTCCAAAGACAAAAACGACTGTCTGAGGAATTCTTGGTCCATTAATACCAAAGGACTTTCCTAATATTCTGTCCATATGTCTCTTATGCTTTCCCTTAGGGTTCTGTATCTCAAATACCATCTTCCATGTTCTACAGCTAAATCCTAAGGGACAAAAACCAAGATTTTTCTCTTGAGCCAGGTTGGTATAGCATTTGAGTTCTAGGTCAAGCCCATTAAAACCAAAGTCCTGAGGAAAGGAGCAACTCTCTTTTGTCCTGTGTTTTCAGAAAGACCCAACATACTGATCTTCCTAGTTTTTATTGTCATTGTCCATGGAATGGCCCGAATCTATTCATGTTAACATTTTATAACCAAAATGAAAAGGATCTTTTTTCTACTGGCCCCTGTCTGCTGTTTTTTGGTTTTTAGTAGCTGAAGTTTTCCGTTGAGGTTCTTTTAAACGCCTACATGCAAACTGAAGAGCACTCAAGCTTTGGTGGGATATCACCCACAGCTGGAGTGCTGGAGGAAGGGAGGAGGGTACAAACCTCAGGTGCATCCTTCTCTTAAATTTTTTAAACAAAACCACTTAAGCAAACAAATTCCATCTGAAAGTAGGTGAGAATCTATCCAAAGAGCGAAGGGAATGAACCTCTTTCCATATAGGAAATGGATATGGATTCATATGTGACCCAGATACATTGAATTGGCAAATTTGAGACATGTTGGACTGATCCTGCAGCCCTACATCTCTTCTAATCAAACAGTGAAAGGCTATGAACCATGAACCGTGGTGAGAAGCAGAGGAACAGTGTTGCAGCAATGGCTCCTCGGTTGGTGGTTAGGCCCTGTCTTGCTCTATTAAGCAAACACAGTTAATATAGATAAAAGGTAACCTTGATAGAAGTGAAAATTGAAACTTGAGTTGAAGGTAGCAAGCCAGGCACAGCTGCAGTTGTACTTCCTCCTATGTGGCAACAGGAGCTGCACTTACTGGTATTTTTTGGAAGGGATACAATTTTTTTAAATATCTTTTCTTCAGTGTGTTTTGGTTTTTAATGTCTACACCACTGATGGGAGAGTGGAATATGTTAGTAAGAAGCCACCTAGGCTTTCTGCATCTAATGTGTGAGGTCAGATCCAAGTTCAGTATTCTAATCATACATCTGCTATTAATTGGCTGTGTAACCTTGGACAAATCACCAAAAAGATCTCTGGTGGTAGATTTTTCTTATCTGAAAAACCAAAGGGTTGAATTAGATGATCCCTTCAAGCCCTAAAATTCCACTGATTTATGATTCCTTTTTTTTTTTAATTTTTTTATTTTTATTTTTTTTTTTTTTGATTTATGATTCCTTATGAGGAAGCACAACTTCCAATTTCTAAGAATAAATGTTGGGAAAAATATGCATTTATACAGTTTATTTTATATATGAAAAATCCCTTGCAATATCTGTCATGATTTTATCAGGCAAATATTTAGATGTTATTAGTGTCACTATGTAAATTTGCCTTCTTCACTGTTTATGTTCTTCAGCTTAAGAGTGTTGCAACTCTTTTTAAGATAGTACCTGGTCAGCGAACTCAATTGGATCAGTCCCTCCTCTCCTGTCTAGTCCTATGGTTTCTAGGATCTTGAGTTTCACCCTCCCTAACATAGGTATAGGTGTGCTTCCCCTTGCTTGGGTTGAACTCCATTTACCTGTGTCAATGAAAGTGACTCCTTAGAAGATTATGTTAAAGAATTACTTCTCCTTTTATCTTTCTCAACAGTATTTCACTAGTACGGCCAGCTTCCTCTCTATACAATGTTGTCTCATTATCAGTTCCAAGAGAAACAGAGATAAGACTCATTTTAGCAGTGCATATACATGGAAGGGGAAGAGGCAAAGCATGGCTTAAAATCAGAAAAACCATATTAACTATTCAACTCCCACTCTTAGTGGCTTAAATTGAATGCATTTGAAGGATTAAAACAGTATTTTCTTCTTGAAACTGAAGAACTCCACCATCTTGCCTTTTAACTGCAGCCACCAAAAAAGGTACTAAATCTGAGCACCTATCTTCTCCCCCAGTACTGGAGAAGACTTGCTCAAAATGTTTTTTTCTTTCATGGTTGCTTTGATCAGTCACTGCTAAATCCATTCTCTCTCATTTTCTGAATGGTCTAAAACACTGTCATCTATTTGTGTGTGTGTGTGTGTGTGTGTGTGTGTGTGTGTGTTTCCACTGACTGTGGTTCTGAATTCAAATAATGAGTGCTCATCCTAATGGTGTTTTCTTGTTTTGTAGATGTACAATATTATGTTAGCTTCATTTGATATTTAATTTCAGTTGTGAGTCTCTCTCTCTGAGCTGTTTTGATAGCTCCAAATACAATCATTGTTCATTTCTTTCATTTTCTTCCCTGCAGATGATTCAATGAAAGTGAAAGATGAATACAGTGAAAGGGATGAGAATATTTTAAAGCCAGAGCCCATGGGAAATGCAGAAGAGCCTGAAATTCCATATAGCTATTCAAGAGAATATAATGAATATGAAAATGTTAAGCTGGAAAGACATGTTGTCTCATATGACAGTAGCAGGCCAACCAGTGGCAAGATGAATTGCGATGTGTGTGGATTATCCTGCATTAGCTTCAATGTCTTAATGGTTCATAAGCGGAGCCATACTGGTAAATAGTTTCCTTTATCCATTCTTCTGAAAACTGTTCTAATGCAGCCATGTGAGAAATGAAATGGTAGAATTTGGATGACTTTTGATTACTTTCATTGATTTTTGCTATAATTCTGATGTATCTCTCCCTCTCTGCATTTTCATTTACCCAGTGATTTTTATTCCTGCTTTTCTATGCACTTGGCAAACATTGAAAATGCCATGAATAAAAACACTGACGTAAGGGCCATGTTCTAGGTCAATCAAATATTTTTCTTCAGTTAATAAGTAGGAGTTGAATTGTGTGATATGCTTCTTAAGCATCATTCATACATTTTTACATAACTTTTTAAAAAGCAGACCTTCTTATTATATTGGGTTCAAATTTAATAGGTAAAAGGATATAGTTTTTATTACCAGTTTAAAAATTTTATCTTCAGACGATAAACAGTCTATAGAAATGCATACAAACACAACAGTTCCACTGAGACCAATAGATTCCATCTGACATCTGATATGAAAACTTTAAAAAAGAAGCATTTCTGGCCCCTCCATGCCTTAATAGGATTTGAGTCTGTGATTCTTTTTTTTTTCACATTGAGGTTATATTAAAAAAGAATGCTAAATAATTTTACAAACTTACATCTGGAACACTCCTAGAGCTACTCTTGTTTGGGTTTTTGTTTTGTTTTGTTTTGTTTTCCTCTGATCCAAAATGATACCTAAAATGGCCTTGCTAGATGAATGTTTTTTCTCTTCTACAGGGAAGATTCCAGAAGTAAGTCATACACTTGCCTTCAAATACAGCCCCCAGCTGATCCCAATATATGAACAGATACTGTCTAAAAGATAAGCTTTTGCCATAGGCATCTAATCTGTGCATATACTTTGCCACTTGCTGGGTGATCAGAAGTCTCCTTTTTGTCCTTTTTAAAGGTGAACGCCCATTCCAGTGTAATCAGTGTGGGGCATCTTTTACTCAGAAAGGTAACCTCCTCCGCCACATTAAACTGCACACAGGGGAAAAACCTTTTAAGTGTCACCTCTGCAACTATGCATGCCAGAGAAGAGATGCACTCACAGGTCACCTTAGGACACATTCTGGTAAGTGAGAGCAATGAACATTCCATATCTAGTAAATGTGTGTTCCTCGGTGCCCATTGAGGAAACTAGAAAGAGTTAAGTATGGAGGTTTTAATCTGTCATTCCTGTTCTGAAGGGTTACAACAGCAGAGACCTCTAGGGCTAATTACACTTCCATTAAGGCATTAATTGCTCTCCGTCTGGCTCAATGGGGATGATCATCTCCTTACCATCCTTGCTCCCCTAGAGAACCAGACAGTCAGACTGGAAGAGCTTGCCCTATAAAAATGCCTTTTAAATTTTTGTAAAAAAATTATAGTCATCAGTTTTTTCTTATGCTGAGCTTTATTAAGAGATTATTTTCCTAAAAAACACACGGACACACTTTTCATTCAGAAGTCTGGACGAGCGGGATCCCTGGGTGGCGCAGCGGTTTGGCGCCTGCCTTTGGCCCAGGGCGCGATCCTGGAGACCCGGGATCGAATCCCACGTCGGGCTCCCGGTGCATGGAGCCTGCTTCTCTCTCTCTCTCTCTCTCTCTCTCTCTCTCTCTGTGTGTGTAACTATCATTAAAAAAAAAAAAGTCTGGACGAGCAAATGATGCATAGTAAGTTACATAAAAGTGTAAACTGAGTATAACTCATTACAGGGGGTTCCTTTTTGGCCATTCTGGGCTAAAACTTTTTTTAAATTGATATATAATTGACAATATAACATTGTATTGGTTTTAGGTGTAACATGACTAAATTTCTTAAACCTGACTTTCTTCTTGATCAACCTATTTATTTTTAATCTCTAGAAGATGAGCAGCAAAAGAATTCATTAAAAAAAAAAAACTATGTTCGATCTTGATGTTTTCACTCTTTATTTAGCCAAGGACAATAATAAAACTTTTTTCAACATTTAGAATTTCCCTCCTAGAAAAATAAAACTGAGTTTATTTTCAAATTTGGAACCTCATGTTCTTGATGTTATCTGACAAACTTTTAATTGAAGAAAAAAAAAAGGTTTGTTTTTATGTCAATCCATGTACTGCTTTGACTAAAACCCAGCCCCAAACCCACAACTGGTCACAATTCAGAGACTAAGGATTAAACAAGTCAGCCCCAGCAAAACCCACCATGAGAGATCATAGGTGGTAAGAGAAGGGTTTCTTTTACAGCTCATTGTTCAAAGTAATGAATTAAGGATGATTTTGGCCCAAAAAATTAGTTCTCTTCTGCTGCTTTTTTTCAAGTAAGATCCAAACATAGTGATAATTTTTTAGATAGATTCTAGAGGACCCCAAATTTATGCAGAAAACCTAATAATTTTAGCCCTAAATAAAACCTGCATTTATTTTAATTTGAGATTCCAGTAAGATCTTTTAGTGCTTTAAGTCCCAAAACTCTGTTTTAAACAGAGCAACAGGGGATCCCTGGGTGGCGCAGCGGTTTGGCACCTGCCTTTGGCCCAGGGCACGATCCTGGAGACCTGGGATCAAATCCCACGTCGGGCTCCCGGTGCATGGAGCCTGCTTCTCCCTCTGCCTGTGTCTCTGCCTCTCTCTCTCTATGACTATCATAAATAAATAAATAAAATAAATAAATAAATAAACAAACAAACAAACAACAGAGCAACAGGATCAGAAAATAAAAGCCTCAGTTCCTAAAATTCTGACATATTCATAGGGTACATTCTATCAACAAATCAGAAAGATCAGCCCTGCCCACAAAACTGAAATTACTTTAATTAGCTCCATTTTTATTGATTTAGTCCAGACTTTGCTATAGCCACTTGGCAAGGATATGCTAAATGTATCCACAAATGTCAATGCTCTGAACGGCCATCAGTTTCTGGCTGAATGGCTAAGTCCCAGCATTCTTTACTTACAACTAGATAGATGTCACAAAATAAGGGATCTTTTTCTATTTCATTTTTAAACCACACTAACCTCCTTGAAGAATGAAATGGCCCTATATTTTTTCCTAAAGAAACAACAGTGGAGGTTCCAGGGTGGCTAAGTGGTTGAGCTCTGCATTTGGCTCAGGTCGTGTTCCCAGGGTCCTGGAATTGAGTCCCACATCAGGCTCCCCACAGGGGGCCTACTTCTCCCTTTGCCTATGTCTCTTCCTCTCTCTCTATGTCTCTCATGAATAAATGAATACATAATCAAAAGAAAGAAAGAAAGAAAGAAAGAAAGAAAGAAAGAAAGAAAGAAAGACCACAGTGGATCTGGAACCAAAATACTCTGCTCAATGATAGTCATTAAATCCAAATCCTGGGATCCCTGGGTGGCGCAGCGGTTTGGTGCCTGCCTTTGGCCCAGGGCGCGATCCTGGGGACCCGGGATCGAATCCCACGTCGGGCTCCCGGCGCATGGAGCCTGCTTCTCCCTCTGCCCGTGTCTCTGCCTCTCTCTCTCTCTCTCTCTCTCTCTCTATCATAAATAAATAAATAAATAAATATAAATAAATCCAAATCCTTTCTTTCTTTCTTTCTTTCTTTCTTTCTTTCTTTCTTTCTTTCTTTCTTTCTTTCTTTCTAGATTTATTTATTTATTTTCAAGGGGGAGAGCAGAGGAAGAGGGAGAGAGAGAATCTCAAGCAAACTCCCTACTGAGGGTGGAGCCTGACTCAGGGCTTGATCCCACAACACTGAGATCGTGATCTGAGTTGAAATCAAGAGTCACTTAACTGACTGAGCCATCTGGGCGCCCCAATCCAAATCCTTTCATATGTGAAAGGAGACTGTTCTTTCAAAGAAAACTCTAACATAACAATCAATTTAAGACTATTATCTTATTTCAGTTTATTAAATTTAAAAGTAATATAGATGCAAAAGGATCCATATATCCTGGCTTCTCTTAGCAGCCTTATTCCTAAAGGACAGTTTGCACAGAGCCCTAAGACACCATTTGTTCTGTAACCCCTGAGGGTCATTGAATGCCCCTTTTTTGTTCTCCTTATAGTTGAGAAACCCTATAAATGTGAGTTTTGTGGAAGAAGTTATAAGCAGAGAAGCTCCCTCGAGGAGCACAAGGAACGCTGTCGTACATTTCTTCAGAGCACAGACCTCGGTGAGACTGGTGAGTTCATGCAACACTCATTCTACACACATGTAGTGAGTATCTACTCTTCTAGGTGGTGGGATTCAGTAGTAGTAAAATTAAAAAAAAAAATCTGCCCTCACAGTTAACATTTTAATGGGGAAAGACAGACCATAAGCAAAGTAAATAAGTAACATATACAGTGTATTAGAAGGTAGTAAATACCATTAAGCAAAATGAAGCAGGTATTGAGGGCAGAAGGTGAGTCAGAGAGGTGACATTTTAACAGACTTACAGATAATTAGGAAAACAAGGGCAAAAGCCCTGGGGCTTGAGTTTGAAGAAGTATAAATTGTCCTATGTGGTTGGAGCATAGTAGGTAAGGGAATATGACACCAGAAAGGAAAAGGTAAACCAGATCTTATCAAGCCTTGTTGGCCATTATAAGGCTGGCTTTAACTCTTAGTGAAATTGAAGATCTTCAAAGGGTTTTGAACTGAGGTGACATGATTAGACTTCTCATTCTAAAACAATCACCCTTTTAAATCATTTCCTATTGAGAAGAGATTGAATTTGCAGCAAGATTGGGAATTGGAGAGTCCAGTTAGAAAACCATCACAATAATTCAAGTGGGAAAAAATTGTGTCTTAAAGGTAGAGCCAACAGGATTTCGTAACAGATCGACATGGGATTTGATGAAGAATGCAGTTGCCATTCCCTGAAAGATCAATTGAGAGCAGAGCAGGTTGAGGGGTGGCTAAGGCAGAATCAGTTAAAACTACAAGGATTTTATTTGCCCAAGGGCCCCAAATCATATACTTATCTACTCATATGATTTATTGTGATGCTTATCTTTGGCTTTGAGAATTTCATATTTTATTCAGTGTTTTGAATTATATGCCTAAGGGCAATTGGTTGAAACACTAGATGCCTTTCCATATATCAATCGTGATTTTATTTCCTTCACATTCTTCAGTTAAAACAGCATGAAACCTCTTTGTGTCACATCTTTGCAGTTGTACTCTGTCCCATCCTGTTGACCGTCATCCTGGTTCTACAGTTTGGGTTGTCCGACATTTTTATTTGGTTAATTGAACCAATTGCATATTCAGAGTATCAAATCCTCAGAGGATTTGGTGTTTGCCAGCAGTAGGTGGAATTGAATTATTTGAACGTTCTAAAACAGAAAGATTACAAAAATATGACCGAAATAATGTGAAATTCAGGAAAAATGGAGTGGAAATCATTAGTAGCTTAACTGTACCTATTTTGAGCGAGAGGAAACTTTTGTTTTAGATAAAGCCTATTTTATGGTGTTAGGAGCTGGCCAACTGAATTCCGTTGGTTTGCACTGCTTCTGCTTTTTATCCTGATGGCATCTTTTGTTTTATCAAGGAGTTGGATTTCCTCCTTATTTCTAAAGAGAAATGTTTACAACAGACAGAGCTCTTGCTGTGAGACATTCCCAGGTTATGAAAATCTATTACATTCCAAATAAAATTATTAATATTTAAAGCTAGAAGGTTAAAGAGAGCATCTAATCCTACCACCTCATTTTAGAGGTGAGGAAATTGAAACTCATAAAAAATTCAGTGACTTACTTAAAAATCACTAGAATTTTTGTTGTTTTCATGATTAGCTATATTTCTTTTTTTTTTCAAAAATTCATTGCAATATAATTCACTTACCATAAAATTTACCTTTTAAAGTATACAGTTCAATAGTTTTTAATACATTCATAAAGTTATACAACCATCACCACTAATTCCATTGGATTTTCATCACCATAAAAAGAAACCTTGTGCCCATTAGCAGTCATCCCCTGTTCCTCTTCTCTTCAGCCCCTGGCAGCCACGGATCTATTCTCTGTTTCTATGGATTCACCTATTCTAAACATTTCACATAAATAGAATCATGCAATATGTGGCCTTTTATGTCTGACTTCTTTCACTTAGTGTAATGTTTTCAGGGTTCATCCTTGTTATACATGTATCAGGACTTCATTCCTTTTTATGGCCAAATAATATTCCATTATATGGATTTGCTAGTTTTAAAACAAATCTGTTCATCAGTTAATAGACATTTGGGTTTTTTCCACTTTGAGAAAATATGGCTTGATCAGCTATTTTTTTAAGGTTATATATTATCTGGTCAGCCAAAGAAGTATAGTAGCACACATACTAATAGACACACACATATGCATATATGTATGTCTTGATTCTCTTGGAAGTAGGGGAAAAATCAGTACACTATCCTCTGTGAGTAGTAAATTCAAAATTATTGATTTTAAAGTAAAGTTACCACCTTATTTCCCATCTGCATAACCTTTTTAAGGAATTTCAAATTAGGAAAATATCAAAGAAATATTTTATTTTATTTTTTTTTCAAAGAAATATTTTAGCTATCTTCAGTGGTTTCAGGTGATTCAGGAAATGCTGAAATACAGAGACTGAGTTAATTTGCATTTCATAGGGTGGTTTGATGGATGCATTCAACAACATACTTGAAGTCTCAGCAAAAAAATAAAGGGTTAACTAAGTCAGCAAGTTTTTATTTTTTTGTTTAAAACATTTACAAAAAATATTTTGTAATGGTGGTTTCATGTTATAAAATGTATAAAGTCACAGTTTAATCAAGTGTAATAAAAACTGCATATCAGTCAATATATTACTTTTGTATTTCAAATAGCTTCCATGATTTTTCCTGAAATGTAAAATGTAAAGAATGTGGGTTTTAGTTTGTTATTTCTTTTTTAGTAATCTCTACAGCCAATATGGGTCTCTAACTGACAACCTGAGACCAAAAGCCACGGGTTCTTACAAGTGAGCCAGCCAGGTGCCCCCAAAAAGTAAATATTTAATCCACACAAACCAGGAATCCCTGGGTGGCGCAGCGGTTTGGCGCCTGCCTTTGGCCCAGGGTGCGATCCTGGAGACTCGGGATCAAATCCCACTTTGGGCTCCCGGTGCATGGAGCCTGCTTCTCCCTCTGCCTGTGTCTCTGCCTCTCTCTCTCTCTCTCTCTCTCTCTCTCTCTTTGTGTGACTATCATAAAAAAAAATCCACACAAGCCAATCCTTTAATTTTTGTCGCTGCTCCCTATATGGTTTTCATTTGTTTTCTTTCTTAAAATTGGGAGTCCCAGTCTAGATATCATGTTCCATTCTGAACCTGACCAACATAGTATCACCAGTGGTACATCTTATTCCTTCATCCCTAGCTTTTTTTTTCTTTTATTTATGATAGTCACAGAGAGAGAGAGAGAGAGAGAGAGAGAGGCAGAGACACAGGTAGAGGGATAAGCAGGCTCCATGCACCGGGAGCCCGATGTGGGATTCGATCCCAGGTCTCCAGGATCGCGCCCTGGGCCAAAGGCAGGCGCCAAACCACTGCGCCACCCAGGGATCCCCTTCATCCCTAGCTTTTATTTTTTTTTTAATTTTTATTTATTTATGATAGTCACAGAGAGAGAGGCAGAGACATAGGCAGAGGGAGAAGCAGGCTCCATGCACCAGGAACCCGACGTGGGACTCGATCCCGGGTCTCCAGGATCACGCCCTGGGCCAAAGGCAGGTGCCAAACCGCTGCGCCACCCAGGGATCCCCCATCCCTAGCTTTTAAAGTGATGGTACGCCATTGCTACTATGGATGTGGCCCTTTATTCATCAAGTGCTTATTATAAATTGAAGTGCAGCCTAACATATGACCCAAGCTTTGAGTAAGCGGATCTTCATGGAAGCAGGACAGAAAAAAAGGCTTAGACTAGACACCAGTCTACAAAAGAATGCCATATTGGGTAACAGGACTTACATATAGCCTTACTAGTCACTATTCTTTTAGTCAGATAGCATTTGTTGGATTCTCTATGTGCCAGAGCTGTTTGTAAAAATGAGAGAGTTTAGCCCCTACCCCTGGAGAACTAATAGCCAACAAGGCAATGGGCACTTGATCTGCTAATATATTACCAAGGTCTAAGAGAGACACATGTGATATTGTTGTTTCAGTCCAAGTTTCTTTTTTTTTTTTTTTTAATTTTATGATAGTCACAGAGAGAGAGAGAGATCGCGCCCTGGGCCAAAGGCAGGCGCCAAACCGCTGCGCCACCCAGGGATCCCTCAGTCCAAGTTTCTATACCAGACCTCCTCATAAATGATGTCATCAAGATACTCCAATTCTGCTGTCTTAATGGTGTGTATATGAAAAGAAGAATAAAGGGGGATCCCTGGGTGGCTCAGTGGTTTAGCTCCTGCCTTTGGCCCAGGGCGTGATCCTGGAGTCCCAAGATTGAGTCCCATGTCAGGCTCCCTGCATGGAGCCTGCTTCTCCCTCTGCCTGTGTCTCTGCCTCTCTCTCTCTCTCTCCCTCTCTCTCTCTCTCTATCTCTCATGAATAAATAAATAAAATCTTAAAAAAAAAAAAACGAAGAAGAAGAAGAAATAGAGAAGAACACGGATTTCGTTTTCTCATTAGCTTGATCTTTATTCCAGAAAGGGACTAATACCTGGCATGGAGATTCATTTAGCCTCATTTCATACAAATTATGAGTACTTGGAGTGGGACGTATTTTTGTATGACAAGTTCTAGCAATAACAAGATTTTTAAAGTAATTGGATAATTATATTTATTTATGAATCTTCAAGTCTCAACTTTTTACCTTCATACTCATTGTTTCAGCTGAGCCAATACAAGCATGAGAATTTTTGAATGAACTTACATTTTTGCCAAGTAGCAGACCAACAAAAAAGTTTAAAGTGTTTTAAAAGTTGATCTTTCCAACTGATTTTTCTTCTTAAAAAGTGATACTATCTTACAGGTAGTATTTATTCTACTTGCTCCAAAAGGCAACAATTTTATGTAACTTTTTTGTTAGAAGCTGCCTCAGTCTTTGATAGCAATCTTTTGTTAGACAATTCTTGTTACACAATAACACCTCTATGTTCCACTGTCCATTAGCTACCACTGACCACACCAGAGAAGAGACAGGAAGCAATGCCTCTTAGTTGAGCTCCATTTAACACTTCATGAAAGATTCTGAACAAACAAAAACACAACCAATTACATAGTTAAATCTGCAGTTACTTTGAGAAAGAAATTGCATCATGGAAATAGTTAACTGAAAACCAGACAATTAAGACTTGTATGGAGATTAAAGGTTGAAACTTGTTCTGTAATTATGACTTCATATTAGTTTTATTATTTATATCTTCAACATTTCTTTAAAATAATTTTGCTAATGAAAATTGGTACACCCACTATGTAGCAGGCAAGTGACATGAAGGGGAATTGATCCAGAATTACAGCCCTCCTGTGCTCACTCAGGAACCAAGTGTATAAATTGCTCTTTGCCACTATCCCATATTCCCCCACACCCACCCCTTGCAACATTAAACTGCCAAACACCACCCAGGAACGGATTTCCTATTTCATCATTTAAGCCCATTATCTTGTCCCCTTACTATCTTGCCAAACTGGTTTCCCTCCACTTACATTTTGAGACATGATGTGGCAAGATAACAAGTCTAGACTATATAAACAGACAGTTGGGTCTTCAAGTTGAAGCAGAGGACCAAAAAGCAGTGGTCCTCTTTGTTAGCTTTTTAGAGTACCTGAACCTGTAATCCTGAAGAGATCCTCTAACCCCAGAGCATTTCTTTGTGTTTTAAAGGGTGCCCATGTAGCGGTATTATGCAGCAAACTGTCCAACAACTACAAGGCAAAAGACCAACAGTTTGGGGGAAAAAGGAGTACATACAGCACATTCTATTGAAGTTGGAGCTTTTGCCTAACTTGCCCATTAGAAATTGGTTAACTCAGTAAAGATGAGCTTAATCTCTAGAGTGTGTTTACATGTCCATTGATGGTTGGGATCTTGGAGTTGATATTTTGAGTGAACAAGCCAGGGATGGGGAGTGAGAGTGGGGGGAAACCTTCAGAGGATTTTGTTGGCTCTAACCAGAGTTGTGGAGATGTGAAAGTTTCCACCCATGCCCCCAATTATCTGTCCAGCCAAACACTTCAGAATGTTATCTTTTTTAAATGTCAGGCATTTAGCCACTGTTTTACAGAGTAAGATTTATCTAGAAATGACTGTCAAGACCGGCTTGGTGAGTAACCAGGGATAAAAGGTGATACTATCTCGGAAGGTTGCCATTTAGTGACATGCCCTCATTACATTATTTAGGTCATGTATCCCCGCTCTAGCATCCTCCCAAATATAGAGGATATTGAGTACGTATCCTCAGAAAGCTGCTAGTGGTAACTGATAGTGAGTTGGTAAAATGTAGACAGTAACTGTGGAGAGCTGAACAGGAGAGTAGGCTGGTGACATAATGCCTGGGGTGAGTCCTGGGGCTGAAGGGATAGATCTCTGGGGGATGATTGGCCCACTAGAGGAGTGACTGAAGAGGCCAATATGAATGAATAGTGGTAAAATGGGGCTGGAGTTAAAAATTCCCCCTGGAGGGATCCCTGGGTGGCGCAGCGGTTTGGCACCTGCCTTTGGCCCAGGGCACGATCCTGGAGACCCGGGATCAAATCCCACGTCGGGCTCCCGGTGCATGGAGCCTGCTTCTCCCTCTGCCTGTGTCTCTGCCTCTCTCTCTCTCTCTGTGACTATCATAAATAAATAAATTTTAAAAAAAATTCCCCCTGGACTGTTTTGCATTCTCGTTTTGCTGTAAATCTTTCTGATAATAATACAATGTTGGGGGTGGGGAGGAGGCTGGGGGATGGGGGGAGCAGCTGTTTACCTGGATTTAATCCTCTCAAAGTTGCTCAAACCAGAATGACTGTCCCCAATGAAAGTACCGCTTAACTCCCCCTCAGATGCTTCTAAGAAAAAGCCTCCTTGTAACAGCCTCAGGAACTGATTTCAAATCCCAGAGCTTTGTCTTTCATCTCTCTGCTCTTGGGGCTCCGGGTAGTGCCACATCTGGTGGTGGTTTGTGTGAAAGGAAATAATATATATAATAGTTTCCTGTTTGGTCACTTAAACCTATCCCTGTGCTGGACAGAATTTGACCCACTTCACTCAATAGCAAAGTGTCCTGTCGCTAACATGCCCATTATTTACAACAGCTGGTCAGCCAGTGATAGTGCTTTACCACCAGCCCCAAAGCTGCCCAGGCCCCTTATTCTGACCCTTATTGTTTTCATTTACACAAATAGTATTATTAATAACTGAAACTGGGGGATCCCTGGGTGGCGCAGCGGTTTGGCGCCTGCCTTTGGCCCAGGGCGCGATCCTGGAGACCCGGGATCGAATCCCACGTCGGGCTCCCGGTACATGGAGCCTGCTTCTCCCTCTGCCTATGTCTCTGCCTCTCTCTCTCTCTCTCTCTCTCTCTCTGTGACTATCATAAATAAATAAAAAAATTAAAAAAAAATAACTGAAACTTAAGGCTGGGACTTATTTCTTTGGAGCATATAATTATGTTTGACAAGAAACTCCCAAAGTCTAGTAAATACAGTCATCGTCCTCTTAATCCTTTTTGGAGCTAGATTTTATTTTATTCCTGAATTTTAAAAGCCTTGAGCTTTATAATTTATTGTGTAATAACTGGAAACACAGACAAAAACATGCTAATAATAAAATGAAACATATTTAACATTTTGAATTCTCTTTTTCTAATTTGGCTTTGGTTTTCTTGCCCTGACCATACTTGACAGTCTTGTCCTGGAGGTTTTTCTCTTATTTCCCTGCAGAAGTGGCCAGTTTTCTTCTCTCTGGGTATTTCAATTTGTGGTACTGAATGTCTGAGAGGACTATGGAATTTGTGGCATCCTTTCTGTATATTAGAATCTCTTCATACAGCAAACTCCTTTACAGAATGAGCACTGACCATCCCTAAATCTATGCATATATTTTTGGGGAAAAAAAATCTGTTCTACAGCCATCCCTTGCTTTTTACTCAATCTCTTAAGCTAATTTGTTTCTTCTTCCTTAGAAATATATGGATATATCATTTTAGTTTGGACCTCCTGAAATGTTTGTGATAAAACAGAGAGCAATGTTTGTAGTAACACAATATGAATGTGTGGGACAGGAGTGAGCAAACTGTGACCCTTGGGCCAAACATAGCCAGCAGACTGTGTATGTACACAGGTGTTTTTACATTTTTAAAGGGTGGTGGTTGGATGAAGAAACCAAAGAATATGGGACAGAGACTCTATGTGTCCTACAAAGTTTTAAATATTTACTATCTGGCCCTTTGCAGAACAGTTTGCTAATCTGTAGCTTGGGTCAGCATCATGTGTTCAAGCTTAAAGTCTTACATTTAGAGCAGTTGGTATCTCTTTGATCTTTAGGCTTGGACTCTAATTGACGACGGCCTACTGTATCAGGGTAAATTATACTTTATTTATTCCAGTGTACTGTTTAGTTGACTAGACATTAGTCCTAAGTATATATTCTAGTGGTTTTTAATTCTGGCTGCATTTTAAAATCATCTGGATGGGATCCCTGGGTGGCGCAGTGGTTTAGCGCTTTTGTGCCTTTAGTGCCTTTGGCCCAGGGCGCGATCCTGGAGACCCGGGATTGAATCCCATGTCGGGCTCCCGGTGCATGGAGCCTGCTTCTCCCTCTGCCTGTGTCTCTGCCTCTCTGTGTGTGTGTGTGTGTGACTATCATAAAAAAAAAAAAAAGACTAAAAAAAAAAATAATAAATAAATAAATAAAATCATCTGGAGAGGGGATCCCTGGGTGGCTCAGCAGTTTGGTGCCTGCCTTCAGCCTAGGGGGTGATCCTGGAGTCCCGGGATCGAGTCCCACATCAGGCTCCCTGCATGGGGCCTGCTTCTCCCTCTGCCTGTGTCTCTGCCTCTCTCTCTCTCTCTCTCTCTCTCTCTCTCTCTCTCTCTCATGAATAAATAAAATCTTAAAAAAAAATCATCTGGAGAGCTTTAAAAATACTGTGGCCTGGGCACCTGTACCAGAGATCCTGGTTTCAGGATCTGAAGGAGAACCTGGGCATAAGTGTTTCCTACATTCACTTCAGCTAATTCTAATGTACAGGCAGGTCTGAGAACTACAGGCCTACACCACTTAAAGGTCTATTTGTGGATTAACAACTAATCCATATTCTTAGGCAGTTTTTATTCACATTGTTCATTAGAAATATAAAGATGTATTATACAAATTGCTCTTTAATTTCAAGACAGAAGTGTTGCTCAGGGAAATTTTAACTGAGACAAGTTTGAAATGTGAGGAACATATGAAACAGATAATACAGAGCCCAGAGAAATAGAATTTAAGAGATAGGAACTGAAAGGAGCATGCTGGAAGAAAAGAAAAGAAAAGAAAAAAACCACTCAGAATTTCAATACACAAATCACTGAGTAGATTTCTTGCTGTCTGGGTAAGTGTATCTATTTTCAAAAGTGCTATTAACATAAACAGAGCAGTAAATCTGGGGCACCATACTTTTTTTTTTTTTTTAAGTTGTTAAGAAGAATTATATCAGTCTGCAGGTGTCACACGCAGTTACTCAGAATCAGAAAGAAGGCTGATCGGGGGTTAGAAGATCTCCATCTATCTATCTTTTTGCAACCAACCACGTCCAGGCTGTTTATTTAATACTTCCTCTTGCTAATGAAGATACTAGTTGGGGATGGGTCTGGCTTTCCCATCTCAGCATAAGACTGCAAGATTTGAACGTGCCCTGGTGCTGGCTTCACTGACCACAGCAGGTACCCCAGGCAAGAATCTGAGCAGTAATAACAGGTAACGACAGAGTGTACATCAGACCTCTGACACTTTTCCTTCCAGTTTATTTCCTTTCCTCCCTCATTTATCACCATTTCTTTTCCCTCTTCTTTTTACATTTTTCCAAACCAGCAAGTGCGGAGGCAAGACACATCAAAGCAGAGATGGGAAGTGAAAGAGCTCTCGTTCTGGACAGATTAGCAAGCAATGTGGCAAAACGAAAAAGCTCAATGCCTCAGAAATTCATTGGTAAGAATACGACCCTTTTTCCTGCTGTTGTTAGCAGATAGTTTAAATGAGATAACATAGGATGTTTATATATTACACAGGCCCTTAAATCTCTGTTAAAATTAGGTAATTCGTTTTCCATTGTACACTTTTATTCTTTGTGCTTCATTTTGATAGCTAGAGCAAATAGAATAAAATCTTTTAACTGAACAATCTTAACTCCTGAAGATGGGAGTATTTGATATCCAATTTCCTAAATGGAGTTGGTGTTAAAAATGCTGTTCCTTCCTCTTTATTCTGAATGACATATGTTGCATGAGAGAGTTTATGCAATTGACACCAGTAAGATGTTTGAGATAGCATTTTTGTAACCTTTTGTAATTATATTTTACAAGTTGGTTCCGTAATCATGCCCCAACTTTTTTCATGTTCTAAAACTTATTGCCATACTTTCTTGAATTTAATTGAGGATAGGCTTTTAGAGAAAGTTGAAAAATTAGATATTTAAATAACAAAGCTAGATTCAATCATTTGTCTTAAGGGAGTTAATTTTTATGCCATCGGTTTTCACATTGTCAAACAATGCAACAGAATGAGATGGCTAAGAAAGAATTATGTTAAGTGTTAGGATTGCTGAATGGCAGAGATGTTTTGCCCAGCTCTTCCAGATGTTTACATAAATGTGACCATCGTATTTAAAATAGATTTATATTTGTGAAGGGGGCAGTTGAATTGAATGCATCAGTTTTGCTATAAATTGAAATTTGGTGATACTGAACAAAAATAGTTATCACACGAAAATAGACCTCCCTTAACACCAGCAGAATTTTTTAAAAACTGCCAATCTGTTTTTCCAGAGATACTTGCTATTGATGTCTTACTACAGTCCTTTTGTGCTTGGTTCTTTTCAGTACAGATATTAAGTACCTGCCTGGTTTTTAAACCTGGTTAAATTTTATTCTGGTCTAGATCATTTTTGTACAGGCAGGTATTTTATGTGAATTATAGAGACATATTGAAAGAACTCATATATTTCAAAATTACCTAGCTTGGCATTTATGTTTATTTAAGGGCTTATGCCTTATTTTTTTTATTTTGATTAGCTGAAAAGTTTTCATATCCTTTTAATCACTTCAAGAATTGTGTCAGACTAAATAAAGTTGGTGCATTTCAGTTTAGAGAGATAGACCCCTCCTACCCCCCCACCCCTGTTACCATTTTCCTTTGTGAGAAATGTCAGGGAGCATGTAGTGGCCTCCATGTGGAGTTTAGGAACAGTGGATCAAATGTGATTCCAAGACATGATTTTAAGACATTGCTCATATTATCTTTTGAGCTTGACTGCTGTGAAGAAGTTCTGACTGGAGTCAGAACAAAGGAAAGTAGAGGTTGTTATTCTATGAGTGTAATTTACTTTGTAATTTAATTTGGGGAAAGTTTTGACTCTAGAAATGGCTGTACTTGGTGTGGAGAGGGACATGGGGAGAAATAGGCAAAGAAAAAATGTAAAATGACTCAATTTCAATCCAATTATGGTCAAGGCGTTTTGGTCTAAGAGAACTTACATATGAGAGAAGGTGCTTGGTCCTTGTAGCTGCCCTACACCTACAGTTGAGCTAAAATCCTCCTTAATATAATAAAACTTGCTTTGGTATTTTTGTGGGTTCAGAAAACATGTTTCCTATGTCCAAGTCCTTGCCATTCTGCTTGGTGCATTGGGGATCTGTTCCATTTGCTACCCTTGTAACCAGGGGATTTTTACTCCATTTCCAGACTGAGGAGAGATGCTTGTAGGTGCTGATTTCTCTCATCCTCTGAACCATCATGTTCATTCTATGCTGGAATCAGGAAACCCAGTAGAGTTAGCTCTTGATTTGAGCTGAGGTAGCAACTTCGAGGCTTCAGGGCTCTGAATAACTGGGGGAAATTTTGTTTGGTAAATTGTGGTATAGCGCAGTAGGAAGAACACTGGATTTGAAGCCAAATGACCCAGGTTCCGATTCTAGCTCAGTCATTTCTTAACCGTGTGTGTTTAGACAAATCACATAACCTTTCTGGGCCTCTGTTTACTCATCTGTGAAATGAGGAGACTGAATAGGTGATGAGGTGATCGGGAAGGTCCCTCCCAGCTCTATCATTCTACAAGTCTGCAAGATGAATTAGCAGAGGCTGCAATTATGAATACCACTTTGTGTTTTTAAGCCCATATGTGTAGATTCAGATAACGGTTTTCTCAAGACTATACAGACAAGGTGTTTATGTTATGAACCATGTCATATATTTTAGTTGTTTTTGTTTTAGGAAGGTGTGGTTAAATGAAAATCTATAAAACAGCTACATTAGCCTAACATTCATCTGTTTTACTGAGGGCGTTACTCCTCGTTCATTTGTTCTTTCCCCTGTTCATTGGTCGGGAAATGGGGACAGCGCTCCCTGCCATGCCCATGATCTTGTTCCTGAGCCCTGTTTGAAACTTCTAGCATTAGCTTATATCCCGAACCTTCCTTTTAGAGATTGTTTTTAAATAAAGGAAACCCCTTGAGTCATTTAATGGAGTCAACTTTTTTGATAGAAAACAGCAATACTGGGGAGAGAAAAGGAACATTTTGACACTGCAGTGTATGGGATAAAGTGCTGCAAAACATACGGGGCTAATGTTTTCCCTCCTCTTCTTGTCTGTCTCCTATATTTCCTCTCCAAGGCACCTTTTTCTGAAAAGATTCAGCTGCCAGGGAAATGGCAAAGGGTAAAGTGTGAAGGAAGAATGAGTCACTCTCTTTAATCCTTGCTGACAGTTGCACAGCACTCAGACCAACCTTGGCTTCCCTGACCTCTTGAACTATGAGGGTAAAGGTGAAATTATACCATCAGGTCAACCTGTTACTTTAGAAGGCTAAAGAGAATTACCAGTAGGTAGCTTTTTTCACAAATTAGAGATGAATTGAGGAAAATGGACAAGATTGGGTTAAGTCTAACTGCACTTATTTTTTTTAAGATTTTATTTAGTTATTTATTTGAGAGAGAGAATGCAAGAGAGAGCATGAGCTGGGCGAGAGGCAGATAGATGGAGAGGGAGAGGCCTTCTCCCTTTGAGCAGGAAGCCCTATGTAGGGCCGGATCCCAGGACCCTGAGATTATGACCTGAGGCAAAGGCAGAAGCTTAACTGGCTGAGTCACCCAGGTGCCCTCTAAGTGCATTTAGAAACACAGAAACATGCCTTTGTTGAAAAGTAAGAATAAAATTAACTTGCCCACATAGAAGAAAAATAAAGCCATTTTTCCTAATTCTCCAAGAAATTTTGTTTTGTTCTCTGTATTTAGGACATAAATTGGCACGCATTCATTAAATGTCGGCATCTTTACATCATCAAAATAGTTCTTTGTTGCTCTTTTTGAAGGACACAACGGCTTACTTTTAGCACCTAGCCTTTTAAGAGTTGTCCTTTTCTGCATCTTATTCTTCTGTTATAAACTTGTTTGACTAAACTTCTAACTAGGCCATCTTCAAATACTTGGCTCAAAATAGAGGCCAGATTTCTCTCCTGGAGGGAGGAGGAAAATGACTACATTTCTGCATATTTCTTTTTCTGATTTTCATTCTTTCTCCAAAAACAGATGTGTTATTCCAACCAAAGTGGTTACCATAGCATCTCCTTATTATTTTTAATTTTATGTATTATTTTATTAAAGGAAGTTTTTATGTTGAAAAGAACATGAAAAAAGATCTCACTCACCCGTGGTAAACATGTTTAGTGAGGTTTTGACACTTCAACAAACACCATCGATTCTCCCTGTGAAGTAACTAATGAGAAATTGTCTGCTTTGGTTAACAGAGCTACAGGAAGCAGTTTGAATACCCATTTCTAACAGCAAAACGTATCTTCTCCCACTCCTTCTCAAAGGGCTGAAGTCTATAATCCTATAAGTATTACAGAATCCTAGCATATTAGAACTTGAAGAGATATCAGGAATACCCAGCAAAGTTCTTGTCCCAAGGAAGAAGGGAGGATGGAGAGATGAAGAGATACAGCTAGTGGGTGAGAGAGCAGAGTCAGGACTGGGACCTTGTAACACACTGCCATCCAAGGTCCAATAGTGGAGCCAAAGCCTCCTTTCCTGGAGGTCCCCCTGAGCAGTGGGGTCATGTGTGCTGCACCAGGTCTTTGGATAGGGAGGAGTGTAGTCAATGTAAGCTGGTGGAAGAAAAAGCCCCTGAAGAAGGGAAGTTATTCTCCCTCAGGAGTGTGTTTTCTTGAGAGAATAAGTCTTCCCCTGGGGCACCTGGGTGGCTCAGTGGTTGAGCACCTGCCTTCAGTTCAGGGTGTGATCCTGGAGTCTTGGGATCAAGTCCCGCATCGGGCTCCCCATAGGGAGTCTACTTCTCCCTCTGCCTATGTCTCTGTGCCTCTCTCTCTCTCTCTCTCTGTCTCTGTCTCTCTCTCTGTCTCTCATGAATAAGTAAATAAAATCTTTAAAAAAAGTCTTCCCCTGGTGACTCCGTCAGGACCGATGACATCCAAATAGCACCTCTCACAAAGGACAAGGCTTCTGCAGCAACAAAACATGGTCTCCAACTCAATTTTCCTCTCCTCCACCCCCAACCCCATGGCTCTCTCTGTGTTTGCTCCCCTTCCTGCCTGTTCTATGGCTCCCTTCTACTTTCCTCCTCCTGGAAGAAATGTTAGTCACTTTAGTCTCATTGAGCTTGAGATCAGAGCCATTACCTCACAGATATTTCATTTAACCTCCTTACTTGCCCCCTCCCTCCTTTTATCGAACATGTGCTTGCAGTAAGAGTAAGCAATAATACACATGGGATATGGTAGGAAGGTAGGGCAAGTACATTTCAGTGACTTGCAGAAACATAAAACCTGAACATTGCTCATCACCCCTCATGATGCCTATAATAGTGGAAATGTGTTATCTTTCTAAAGTTCAAATCATCCCCCCTTCAAAAAACCCTTTCAATGGCTTCCCATTGGAATAAAATCTGAACCACCCAGGTGTTCTGAGCCTTGTAC